CACACACACCAAACCTTTAAACAGAAGCATTAGCTAATCCAGGGACTTTGAGGAAAATCTATCCAACTTTTTGAAGCCTCGTTGCAAAATGAGAAGCAGGTGAAATTAGCAAACATAGATCTCAGCCAAGGAATACAAGTTAGGGCATGGAAGCCCTGTTTCGTGTGGTTCTACAGCCTGCCCCACTTACATTGACTGAGCACCTGCAACATCCCAGGTACTCGCTGTGAACTGAGGATGCCAAGCTGAATGTCACATGGACCTTGCCCCCACAGAGACTGCAGTTTATGCTGCAGCGTTCATTTTCAATCATGTGGCGAAGTTAATAAATTCTGGATACAGATGTATACGCAGCATGATAGGCTTAGTGTCCTGGAGAGATCTAACAAGCTACCAGCCTACAAGGATGTTCATGCCCTGTCTTGATAAACAAGAATCAGACTGCTCAGAGCACTTGGTGGTGGTTTGTCCACCTGAACCCTGCCTGGTCTCTTGTTTCCATAGCCACAGTCCTCTGGGGCAGGAGGCATGTAGGCAGAAGGGAGGAAGATAGGGATGAGTGGGTTTTATTAGCTACTTCAAGTGAAACTTCCTCACCAAAGAACTTTACTCTTGCAAAACAGAGTGAAGCTGAAATTACTCAATCACAATCTGCTTTAGAGTCTGACTTCACGGTAAAACCTCCAATTAGACATTAGGAGGAAAAGTAATCCTTTTTATAGTCCAGTACCTAGTTGCTACATTATCTCATGTTGTCCTTAACTCCATCCACTGACAACAGGCCTATATCTATAACTCATAATTATGTCAAACCAGAAAATGTGATTGGCCAGAATCCACACACCCAGTTAATGAGTGGTCTTTGTTTAGGACCCAAGAGCTCCTTCCTCCAGACCACCTTACCTCTCTTAAAAAAGTCTCCTGTCCCTACCGGCTTCTTTACATCCATCTTCGCCATGTGAAGCAGGGATACTGACTAAGGCTCAGAACCAAAGAGTCCTTTTCAGTTACATTCTGGAAGGCTGGGTCAGGCCTGCTGGCCCACAGTCCCTGATGTGAGGGGATAGCTCCTGGTGTATTCATTCCCTTCCTGGCTCTGCCTCCTGTCCCCTAGCAGCGGAGTGGCTTCCTCACTCTAGCTGTGGTTCCCCTGCCTGACCTGTGGGATCATGCTTTTTGTGATCTGTCTGATGGGTGATATATCACCATCTTCCATGATAATGGCACTGCCTGCGCTCTTACTTTCAGTCAATGAATTTGTAAACTTGTATTATTTTGAATGCTATCTTGTCAATTGTAACTCTTTATGTGTACCATTCCATTGTTCAGTTCTCCCTCTTAAACAATGCCTTCTCTTCCACTCTCCCACAATTCTTTCTTCTTCCTTTATAAAAAAACACACGTAGAAACAAGTTTGCATCTAAGATGCTACAACTAGAACAGGGTCCTACCCTGAAGCAGCTCAGTCTCAGGGGAGGAAGATAAGTAAATCGCACAAAACAGAGTAATAGCTAAAAAGACAGAGATGGAGTATGCACCTGGAGAGAGCCCTGACGACTCCTGGGGGAAGGGTGTCTGCTGGGCCCATCCTGTCCTCCCCATATAAGTAACCTTGACTCCTTCCCCGAGAGCACTCAACTCCCATGCCCGGCAGTCCTTATGTCCAGTTTACTTTTACTCTCCACCATCTCATCGAATGGCACACAGTTTGAAATCAGGAAAGGGGTGTGTGTGTGTGTGTGTGTGTGTGTGTGTGTGTGTGTGTGTTATAGCTTCTCACCATACATGCATACTCAATCTGTGTGCTGAACGAATCATCAGAGAAGCTGGATGAGAGGAATGTGACCTCAGGATTGGAGGAAAGCTTACAGGCATTTGCGATAGGCAGATGACACAACCTTGCTTGCTGCAAATGAGGACTTACTGAAGATCAAAGATTTCAACCTTCAGTATGGATTACAATTGATGCCTTTGAATTGTGGTGCAGGATCAGAATATTGAAATTACCAAGGACCGATAAAAGGACAAACCAATCTGTCTCAGAAGAAATACTGCCTGAGTGCTGCTTCTAGAGGCCAGACTTCCCCTTCCACCTTTGAACATGTTGTCAAGAATGACCAGTCCCTGGTGAAGGACATCATGCTTGATAGAGTAGAGAGGCAGACAAACAGAGAAAGGCCCTCAAAGTGATGGATTGGCACAGCCTGTGACCATGGGCATGGGCATAGGAAAAGTTGTGAGGATGACACAGGACCGGGTCCCCATGGGTTGGAACTTCTTCAGTGGCACCTAAGAACAACAACAACAACAACAACATCTCATTAAATAACATTTTCATAATATATTATTTTCTTCCCACATTGGATGTTGTGCCCCTTATTCCAACCATCATCAGCTCTGCCAGGGCTGCCCCAGAAACACTATCAACACCCCTACTGATAGTCACTTGACTCTCCTTTTACCTGTCTTGAGCATCACGGTCAGTGTCACCTCCTTAAGTCACCACTTTGAAAGTTGCTCATTCTGGTTAAAACTCTCCAAAACATTTCTATGACGTGCAGTGGAAACCCTCACTCTTTGGCTTGATAGTCAAGATCAAATCTTCCACCCTTGTTTCTTCTACTCACTCATCTTCGACCACTCTATTGCACCCCTCCTCCACAACTGAGTAAATACTATTTATTCTCCAACCCTGTTTATGTTGATCTTTTCCATAATGCTGGGCCTGACTTCTTCTACCTGCGGTTTTCCAATTATTGCTGTGCCACCTTTCACAGTTCATCAGGCAGCATGAGGAAGGCCATCCTGATTTTCTAACATGTTTCACGCTTGTGTTTTGTCATCTGGGAAGTGCATCTGAGTTACTGAGGCTGTTTGCCTCCCTTGCGGTCGCTACTGCAAAAGCTTGCTCCGAGAGATCACTCAATGTCTGCGGAATCTCATGTTGATTCAAGTACACTGCTATTTGAACAGGTCTAGAGCTTCCTTGATTTAATGATTTGTAAATATAATTCAGCAGTGTTGACAGAAGTCGGTCTGTCATGAGTGTATCCTCCACCCTTTCACATTGTAACTCACTAACTTGTGCCCAGAATGTCTCTCACTGGGCGCCAGACAAGCCCTTCTTCCATTTTCTCCTTCTAAGGAGGGGAACGCATCTTTCTTAACTCAGGAGCCCTGGCAGAGTAGTGAAGAACTCAACTGCGCCCTGAAAGGACAGCACTTCAAGTCCATCAGCAGCTCCGTGGGGGAGGGGAGAAAAACATCTGGCACTCTGCCTCTGTACTGGGACATAGTGAGTCAGAATGGACTTTATCAGTTTTCTCCTTTGTAAGCAAATCCTCACAGCAGTATTCTTTGTGGGTGCAAGCTTTCCTGGCAAAGTACATATATTGTTTAAGTTTCCAATAAAAATTTTAAAGTCCAATATGGCATAGAGAGTGAGACCCCAGTTTGTTTTAAAGATTTAGGATCATTCTTAGACAGCAAGATAAATGAATGGATGAGAAATACCATCAAAATAGCAATGAACAGGGTAGCATTTGTATAGGGTCCTTCATTTTTGAAACTTTAGTCTTGAACTTCTATGAAAGTATGTGAAGACCAGGGGGTTTTCACAGTAGGGATCAAGTACACAGAATCAGTACTGTGATGTGTGGGAACTCTTTTGTTTTGACCTTCCTGTAGTACTTGATGGTTTACAAAATGCTTTCATATGCCTTATCACCAAATTCCTTGCAGGCCAGAAGGGAAGAAGTGCCAACTGATAGGGATTTTTTACAATAGAGAAATTGCATTTCAAGTGTTAAAATAGCTTGCTTAAGCTCATACAAAAGGATATGTATACCAAAAATCCCCCTCATTTCCTCTCCAAGGACAAGCAGTTGTGTTAGTTTCTCTGCTGCCCACCCAGAGAGGCTCTGTGCAAGTCCATATCAACCAGCAGCTCCTCCACCATCTTTACACACTATATGGCATTCTGGACCTTATTATTTTCACTTAGTACTAAAGGTTGGAAATAATTCCAGGTCTACACATAAATAACTCTTCCCCCATTTTTCTTGAAAGAGCCAACTAAGACTGCACTGTTTGGATGAATCATGGCTTTCCTCAGTAGGTCCCTGCTGCTGGGCATCTAAGTTGTTTCAAACCTATTGTCATAATAAAAGATGTTACAATAGAAAAACCTTGATCACAGTCCTTTGATTCATGTGGGAGTATGTATGTTAAGGAAAACGTTCTTAGAGGTGAGGCTGTCAGGTAGAAGCATGTGTATATTTGTAATTTTGATAAATGTTGCCACATTATTCTCCTTATACAGGGCATCCATTTGCATTCCCATGAACAATGATGAGAGGGCCTATTTACACAATAATTGTCAATATAGTGGGTTAACACACTTTTTTGGCTTTTTGCCAGTTAGATAGGTTAAAAAAAAATCTTACTGCATTTTAAAATTTCAACTGTTTTATGAATACAATGGGATACTGTATCATATATAAAAACAAGACCAAATCTGTTGCCATCAAGTAAGTTCCAGTTCATAGTGACCTGAAAGGACAGTGTAGCACTGCCTCACAGGGCTTTCCAAGGTGATGATACTCTTTATGGAGGCAGACTACCATGTCTTTTCCCCCATGGAACTGCTGGTGGACTTGAACCACTGACCTTACCATTACCAGCTGTGTACGTAACAACTATACCACCGGGGCTCCTTTATATCATATATTGGGTTTTTTGACTATGAGTATTGACTTCTGAGCCAACTGCTTAGATCTTTTTCCATTGCTGATTGTCCTTTTACACTTATCAACCACAGTTCTGACTCATATTAAGGAAATGACCCTGTGTGTATGATGAGTAGCCTTTTGAGTCTCAACCTCATTTTTCTTCTACTACATTAAACAAATCAACAGAACAAAAGGTGTAAAGGATGGCGGGGTACTAGACCACTCCCGCCCTGCCTGCAGGAATAGCAATGGGAAATTTTAGGATGTGCGCTTTTCAGACATGAATGCTGAAGACGAAAAGGGTATATGTATTGTTAGGTAAGCGGGACCCAGGAGGTGTAATCCTGAAATAAATGGGGACTAGACTCATGGAATATAACCTGTCCTTCTCTATATTTTACAGAGACATATTCATAGCCTCTATATCAGGATCCCTGTTAGACTTGCGACTGTATGTATGTTTTGGGGTGGTTTTCTTTTTGGTATTTATCTATACAAGGTAGACAACCCTATGGGGGCAGTGACAGGGCTGACAATTCCTGGGGGGCATGGGAGGGACAGTGGCAGGGTGAGATGAGTGGTG